ACACCACCAGCCAAACCTCTCTGATGTGTTTACATGGTGCTCAACCGACTGCTCTGCCCTTTCACCTGGGCAAGGGTCAGGAGCCCTTCTGGGCATGTCCCATTCCCCTTGTCCCAAGAAACATTTCCCTCTGCYCCCAGATCCTGCTGGGACAGGGCACACCTCGATTGACTCCTGGGTCATTCCAGCTGCACTGTCAGATCTGACAACGGAGGAGGAGCCAATGCCAGCAAAAAAACTCACCAATAATTTAAATAGGCCATTCCACAGCATTTTACCATGTTGCTCTTATGTTTGCTTTAAAAACACCATACAAAACAGTCACATTTCTATATGATTTTGATGCAGTTTTTGCACCTGTGTAGCTCCATTTTATTACAGTCTGTAAGAATATATATAGGAAATGTATTTTAAGCTACTACTGATAGGTCAAATATTTCATAAGTGTATAAATTCCTGTTCCATGCTCAGCTAACTCCATAAGGCATTTGTCAGAAATATTGTACTTATTCAGAGTGAATTGCAGATAAATTGCTAAATATTACACAGCAAGTAAAACAGATCAAAGTATAAAGCAGCAGATGCTTTAACTGTGCAATCATTTGTCCAGTGACTTTAAGCAGAAAAATAATTGGTAAATTATTCATAGTAATTGGTAAATTATTCATTATTCTATTTATGAAATTATGTGTGAAAAGGAATAGCTAAAACTGTTAAGAATAAAAACACTCCTAAAAGCATGAAGTCCAAATTGCCCTTCCTATGGCATTCCAGGGTTTGGGTCTTGCGTAAGCCTGATGAAGAAGTGAATTTTATCCTCAACAGCAGGCAAGATATTAACAACACAGAAAGTGATGCAGGCTGCACTTGGAGATCACTGGAATTGGAGCCATTTGGTGTGAATTGCCCTGGAATGAAATTCAGAACCGATTTCCARTGAGGAGACTTGCTCACCCATACCCCTGGCAAACCACGCCAGTCCAGTGTTGTTCCAGGTACAAAGTGGTTTCTCTGTGCTGCACCTTCCTTCTCACTCCTTTCCTGTGCTCTGACATTGTTCTTCCGTGGGCTGCAGCCCTTTCATCAGAGTACCTGTAATGGATGAGCCATTGCCAGAATCACAATATTATCAGCAACACATTTAAGCAAAACTGGTCCAGGAATCCTCCCAGGGTAAACTCTTAACCAAAAAAAAAACCCCTCTTTCCTACTTTGCCTGGTTCATAAGCACCAGAGGAAAACAAAAGTAGTATCCAAAGACTCAAAACCTGGAGTTCTTAYAGTCCGTACATTTTTTGCCTTTATTTAAGGCAAATTAATCAAGCCTTCTATCCATTAATGCAGGCAGCTCACGTGTTTGGAAAAAAAAAATCCCCCTAAAGCTTTAAAGCACAYTCTTGAGCAGACAGAATGTGCTGTGCATCACACCTGCTCCGGGCACACAGGGCCAGCCTGCAGGGACTGTGCCAGCACTCCAGCACAGCGTGTGGGGCCTGAGCAGCCTCAGCAATGCTCTGATTGGTACCATCATCCACATTCAGGGCATGAACCACAGCCATCTGGGAATTTGTTCCTGTTATTTCACATGGCCACTTCAGACCCAGTCCCCAGAGTCCCAGACTGACTCCCAGCTTTTCCAGGGCTCACAGGCAATCCTTAAGCAACTTGTAACTGCACTCAGACGGCCATACATAGACAAATGCTGCACAGATGAGGACTTCTGTTCTAAGACTTGACTTGCATTAGAATTGTCTGAGCAGGACAGAAAAAAYCATTCAAGACCATGGGGAGGATCTGTAATGGGGAACAGTTGTTTGCAAGAAAAAGGATCTCTCCAAAGCCAGCTGTGAGAAGCAGCAGTCAGGCAAGGCCAGAGCCCATTGGTCTTCAAAACAATAAAAAAATTCTGACAGCTCTGGGAAGAACTTTCCAGCAGGTGAAGCAATTGCTTCATCGAACTGGGGATCTATTTCATGACTGGGTCTGATTTCAGAAATCAGCATTTTAAACTGACCAAACAACAAAAACAGYTGCTGAAATTCTGCCCACCAGAAAACCATCTGGAAAACTAGCCAGGTGGAGAAAAAAATCCCCATCAGCACTCCAACAGATGCTGCTCCATATTCATATTTAACAGCTTTCCCCTTTCCTAGTCACTTCATCCAGATGTTCCAGAAGGTACTGRAAGTTCAATTAGAGGTGGTATTTTATAAGTGCAAAGTAAAAACAACTCCATATTTATCACTGAACATGTTAAGCAAACATGGTTCCTCAAGGTAAGGCAGCTCACACACCYCACAGCAGAGCTCACCTGGTGGCTGACCAAACTACCCCACTGCTTCACCCAGAAAGACAAGCTTGAACTTCATGGGATTTGAAGAGCTGCATATTTAAATGTTTTCCATAGATTCACTGAAGGAGAAATGCAGAAYATGTGAGACAAATCCTGACCAAGTCCTAAAGGAAGCCCCACAGTAAGGAACCACCCTACAGACTCTGCAGTCTCCCTTTGTGGTACTCCTCGTTGGTTTATAGCAAKGTTTGGAATGAAGCACTAACATCAGCTCAGCTTGGCAAAACCAAGTTTCATTACACAGGAGAACAAGATTTTTCCAGATTGTAGTCTTCCATGCACTGGTAACAAACACCACTCCTAAGGGGTGTTTCCACTGAAGAGGAGATTAAACTTTGTCAGAGGCAGAAATCAATTAAATGGTGATAGGAAATGAAGAAATTGAAAATGGCTACTATGAAGCAGTTGCAGCTGTAGTCTGTTAGACTCAGCACACTCCATTTTAAAAACTAYAAAGCAAATTAGTATTTCAGAGCATTTTAATTCTATTGTGCTTAAACATTTAAGATGCACGTAAAAAAGTGAAATAGATACAATAAATGGTACCAGATGTTACAGAACTCTTGGTCACAGACAGGTTATATCTCTGCATAAATGTCACAAAAGCCTTCTCAGCTGCAGAACATACATAAATACTTACTKAGTAATTTTTAAAAGTCAGCAAACAGGTAATTCCATACTCATTAATATTGTATTGATGTTGGGGCTGYTCTTTCACTTATTAAATAGGTGAGGAAGGTAAACAGGGATTCACAGAAGTAGTCACACACCAATCTCTCTCTGAAGATCCCTGTAAGGAATGGTTCAGTGAAGGACCAGACCTAATCCAACTTTCTGCACTAAGGCAAGAACGTTTACTGCGGACCTGCCCAAAAGCCCTGAGGGAGTACTTGTTCAACCTGCTCCAAAAATTCAGAAAAAGGAAATTCTCAAATATCTCTAGCTTAGTAGGAAAACTATCTACATGTTTAGGAATCTTTTGTTTACAGCCATTTTGCTGCAAATTAGGCCAATTTCTGCTTGTAAATAGACAAGAGAGGTGAGCTCACCACTGTTCTTGTGCTGCAGCTGAATGCTGTCATACGTATRCTTCATCTGTTTTTACTAACCCAGTTACTTTACCAATCTCAGCACATCATATAAACAAAAATACCAAAACCATATTAGATTTGTGTGAAAAACTGTCTTTCTCCAGTTTTCCCAGTTCCTGAAAGAGTAAATGGATATCAGTATTTACTATAAGACCTTTTAGAAAGCTTGACACTCCTTTAGAAGCAGCTCCTACGACTAGAAAGCTCAGAAGTGTTAATATTTTCTTGCCTTCTGAAATCTGGTAACAAGAAATAACCTTTTTTTTTTTTATATAAGGAACAATGAGAATATAATAAACCCATGGAGTGATTCYGTCCTTCATGTCTGCACAGTCCAGAAGCCACAGCACAAACACGAGGATCTGCTCACCAGCTGTTCTGCGGAAGCGCGGTTCACAATCAGTCGCTCAATGCTGAACAAAMATGGGTACAATTCCCTGAAATCAGAGGGGACAATGAACTGCAATCCCCATTGCCATCTCCTCTCAACAGCAGCAAGGGCAGCTGCACCCAAGCTGTTTCCTAAGCTGTCCATTGGTGGTGTCACTCAGCCGTGCTGTGCCTATCTCCAGACATGCACACCTCTGGAGTACCATCAGGTTCAAAGGTTCAGCAGTTCTCTGTTATATCAACAGCATATATACACTTGGCACACAGGGGTATCATAATTAAACAGAGCCAGAGGTGGCCAAAGAAAGTTACTTTAGTCCTGCAGGCAAAAGAAACCAAAACTACCCTAAATGACCAGTCCCTTCACTGTCTCCTGCTATACCCTTTATGTGCGTATGAACAGTCTTCTTGGTATTTTAATGGGCATTTTTTCCCCTTAGGAGAAGTAGGGAAAACAGCACACAGACACAAAACCACAGAATTTGCCTGTGCTTAAAGACAAGATGGGAAAGGGAAAAGAATTTTAAAAGCTAAACACACAACTCTTTCATCACATCTTAATTCTGGGCTGTGAGAAACCCTTATTTATTAACAGTAATATGTTAGGTCATTCAACCATTAAATTTCAAGAATGTGCCCATTAACAAGTCTGCTGATTAGGATTAATTAGGGAGTGGAATTTCTTACATGGTACCTGATCACAGAGTTTAGGGGAAGTATAAAAAACTCACAARAAATCACAGCTCCTACAACAAAGGAATCAAACTGCAAATGCTGAAATATTTTATACAAAGTTACATTTTCTTAAAGGGTGTTAACTTGAGGCAGTCAGGCAGTGATCAGGGCCAGAAAAAAAGCAAGGTCCAACACCCACCTGGGCAACTGCTCTTCATTTTTGTCCCTGAAGAGGCCAAAGGCAACATTGGGGATTCATCCAACATCTGCCCCCAGCAGGGCTCTGAAACCTGAATTGATTTTTGCCTTTAATGGCAAAAATCCTGYTAAGGACTCACAGAATAGTTTGGGTTGGAAGGGACTTTTAAAGGCCMTGCAGTCCAACCCACCTGCCATGAGCATGTGTCAATAAACCTTCCAGTACTGTAAGTACCAGAACTTTTCAACAATCTAACTCCAAAATTTCCCCTAAATTAAAAAGAAACAAAGTTAGTCCCAATACAATCAATCTGCCCCCTTGGTATCACAAGTCTTAATTTCTAACAATGTGGCAGCAGCTCTGTCATTTAAAATATATACCTTATTCATTACTACAATTAAAACCAAACAGCTTCAAATGTTACAAAAATATTTATTTAAATTCTATATACAAAAAATGTCAAAACAACAGAACATWTATTAGTACTGACAATTTTTGTGAATATTTAATGGCATGTATTTCTGAGCTCACTTTACAAAACCAAGTGCTTATAGAATTGTAATTGGGTTTTTTATTTCCCTTAAGTATCTTTTTTTCACTTGACTAGCAGCTCATCCTGTGCTTTTAAAAAAGTAAAATAACAGAGCTTAACACACACTGTGCATTACACTGCAACTTTTGACCACAGCATTAAAAGATTGCTGAGGAACCAATACTACATTCTTCTCATTTACATYTAATCATTACCTGCTGAGAAAAATATTCAGGTTTTTGAGACTTATTTTCTGTGAACATAAAAACACTGGCCTTCTATAAAGGTGTCTGCTGTTTTATTCTATGGCTATTGCATATATACAGAAACAACCAAACCCAAGGACACACCAGAAATCTGCATTCTCTCTGTACCTGAAGTCCCATTGYAGTTGTGCCTGTTGAGTCCCAAAACCCCGAGCCCAAAGTCTGCATCCTGATATTGTGCTTTTCCCAGAAAACAAGAGCTTCCCCTACATACATGAGCTACAAACAAACAGGTTTAGTATTATTCATTTAAAGAGCACAGTAAAAAAAAAAAATAGGATATTTTTCTATATGAAAAATACAGCACTGCTTTTTATATTCAAAAGATACCTCATGGAAAAATAGACTTCATAAAGCACACTTTGGTGAAACCCTTAAATTGCTCATCCTAATGCCCTACTCCATCAGTGCTGATGAGAAGATTCCAACAGGTCTGTGTCAAAAGTCACCAAATTGTTCTTCTGCAATCACACATCTCCAAGACTAGGAATAGTTTGGGAGGAACATCACAAATTTCCTTCATTGTGAAGATAAAATGCCTGGACAAGGAGTGATTTTCCAGGGTGATATTGGAACCAGACCCTCCCCAGGCTTATTAGTTACCATTAACAGGCAGCAGTGCCACAGGCAGGGTGGCCTCGTGTGGAAGGTCTGCCCAGAGGGATAACTGAGCTCTCAGTCTCCTCTCAGCTCCTGTGGTTGGGCAGGGAAATTCTAGAAAACGTAGAATTGAAGGTAGCCTGGTTTTAGGCATGATCTCCACAAGTCCACAAACTCTCAGATCTGTTAGTGGTCTTCAAACAAGACAAATAGTGGAAATTGTAAATTGAAAAATAGTGGAATTTGTAAAGCTGCATGAACAGAATATAGAAATTAACATTTCCAAGCCTTCTTTCAATGGGAAATAGATGCTTTAAAAAAATATATTATTAAATAAATATATGGTTTATATGGAGTAGCCACCTAACTTTACACAAAACTCCTAACAAATTATTTCAGCTCTGTAAAGGGCAGCAGTTTTTGATTTAAAACATAAATATTAAGAAAGGCCTTAAGAAATCGTAAGTAGTTACAACCCAGTTTCATCACATACAAGCTCTAGATAATACAGTGTGTTTTGACRAAGACTGCAACACTGAAATTTGTATTAAATAATTCCTTGGTAAGGACAGCTGCAACTATTTGTCACACATTTTGGAAGGCTGCTCAAAAGCTTCAGCCTAGACTCACACAACCCAGCTAGCCGCTGTATCAAAGCAATCTTTTCAAGTGTCATTTCACATGGCAATCCCAAAAAATGAGCTGGTCATCACAGGTAACTGAGAAAGGGAAAAYTGCATAGTTTTAAAGTTACATAGAAAATGTAACATTTCAGCTGCACTGGATGAAGAAAACCTGCTGCCCGAGAACACCAGCAGTCAAGATAACAAGGAATTCTTAAAGCTTCACAATATAAGGAAAAAAAAAGACAATTTGGTAAAACTATCAGTCTTCTTCCATATTTAARGTGCATTAAGATGGAGACAGCCAAAGATCACATTTTGATTCTTATATCSCACTTCTTATTCAAGTTCCAGCCTCAGGTCTGAACTCCCTAAATCCTCTGCAGTTTTGCAACAAGTAGTAAAAATAATGAAGACAGATCATAAATACAAWTTACAAATAAATCTGTACATATTTTGGTAAGTCTGAATAGCACTTTACAATTTACATCAACACCTGCCAACTTCATCGTCTGTCAAACCTACGCAGCCTTTGCCTTCTGATTTCCTCTTCTGGGTGCTCAGGTGGGAACCAAAATCCGTAAGGTCGCCTCTCGTTATTGTGGGTTCCTCCACCAAAATCTACAAGACACAATGAWAAACAACTGTTATTTTGTTCTGTAATAGGAGAAATATGCACATATATCCTGTAAGCCAAAGCACCACAACACAAAGGAAACAGGGAATTGAATGTTTTCAATTCTGATGGTTTTAGGGCAATTACAACTTCCAGAAACTGCTCTTAAAGACAGCCAAATAAAAAGAAAAACCAAAACCAGAAAACGTCCCCAAACAATAAAACTACCACCACCCAAAAAACCACGCCAACGCAACAACAAAACCAAACAACAAACCACAACCAAAAGAACATCTAACAAGTATTAACCCATTAAAAATAAMACATATTAACAAGTATTCACATTTTTCACCATCCCTACTTTATAGAGTAAACTCCAGAATRTGAAACTATTTCAATGTCCTCAGCAGTTGCTTCTGGCAAAAGCAGCTTTTGTGTCTGCTTTTAGTACCGAGTCCAACATGTGCAGGCCCAGAGCAGATGCACACACAGCTCCCACCCCAGCTGGCAGCAGTTTCACAGGGGAAGGACACGTGGCAGCTCAACCATACAAACTGTACACAAAATAATCTGAGCAGCAAGAAAACACCAAGCCCCAGAGTTCTGTGCCCTGGCACCCCAAGAGGAGCCAGGACAGGCTATTCCAGCAGCTCTCCAGAACTCACATCAAGTCACCCAGCAAAGAAACAAGGCAAGGCTTGGTTACTCACACCAGCTCGGCTGAGGGGCTCAGGGAAACAAAAATCAGTCTGCCTTCTGAGCAGAAGTAGAGTGTTAAGAGTAAGCAAACTAGCTTTACAGGTAATAAAACCTTTGTAACATTCAGTCTTTCTTAAACTTACACCTGCGCCACACAGGGTCAAAGCAGCATTGTAATAAATCCAATAATTTATTTTTAAGTCATCATACTCTATTTGCATTTATTAAAAAATTCTTTTCATAGCAAAAATATCAATTAAATATCAAGGTTTCTTATGAAAACATTTACTCTTCTATACAGCATCCCATGTTCATTTTTATTTAAGAAAACAGAYACAACTTACACACTTAAGACAAGTCCTTGCAGAATCCCCATAAAATATGCTCAACACTTCAAATATACATGTGCTTTAATAATGACTAGAAACAGAATGAGGTGTTATAAAAAAGATTTAAAATGCTCTTTTACATGTTGACCCAAAAGACTAGACAATATATTTTGAAAAGCTTTATGTTCAAAAAAAGATCTTATTTTACATGAAACAATATGGTGAACAGAAAAGTCTGGAGTGAAGTTTTAAATACATGTATTTGTATCTGCATGTATATATTTAAATTATCCTGTTACTAAAACAGTTCCCTGACACCTTTTTTTTCCTTTTAATTACAGCAGGAATATTAATGAAATAACACCTTTATCTTATAAAAATATTTATAAGCCACAGTGTTCAGAAATGGTAATTAGGCCACTGCTACTACTGAAACATCACCTGACGTCTGTGCAAGAAACAAACCCAGACTTTTCAACACATCAGCAAAAAACATTAAAGACTAAGGGATTTTAGAATTGTATTGAAAGTATTTGGAAAACTGCAACTACACCAGATGATAGACAAAACCAAAGGATRGAGTACAACAAACTTAGAACAAACCATTAACCCTTGCATTGCATATTTCACAATTAATTGTACCGGGAACTAGAACTATATTCAGTGAATACAGAAGACGGAGACTCGCATCCCCATGCTGTCACAGTGCGGGAGGTTTTTTTGGTAACAAAAGTTCAAAATTAAAGGACTTTGGACCAAAACAAGGAAATCACTGAAACTGCAACAGATATAACTAAACCTGTATTAATGCAATACAAAGCTTTAATAACCTTAAACATTATCATCCACATGTTAAATGAAAGTGCTTATTCTGCCTGAAATTCTCCCTGCAGTCTGACACTACAGCACACCTCTGTGAAGCAGCAGTGCCCCACAGGCACAATGGATAATGCCCTGAGCACTGCTTCAAGGGTTACTCAGCACATCAAAATCAGAAACTGATTAATCACAGACACATTCTCAAATGAAGGTGATAAAACTGACTGATCTCACTTTTTAACATTCTTTTGCCCCACTATGAACAAGCAAGGAACTCTCAGAGGAGAAAGCTGAGAAGGTTTTGCTTGCAGGTCACAGCCTGGAGTGCTGGTGCTGCCAATGAGTGTGCCCAGCCTGCTTCTGCTTCCTGCTCTTCCTCTGGCCCTCATCCACACCAAGATTTACAGGAGGAGCTGCCTGAACAGTAACCAGGCCATGCATATCTTGTCACCAGCTAAGATTTGTTTACTGTTTCTCTCACTTCAAGCATCTGCAATACAACTCTGTCACCCTTTGAGAGCACAACACACTCTTTGTGGCTGATCACTCTAACAGTGATCAGCTCAAAACCTCCTTCCCCAATCTTTTTCACATATTCCCAGCACTTCAAATGCTAAAACATAAGCCCCAGATGTATGATGTAGGAGAGCAGACAGGAAGATGTGAAAAAGCTAACATCGTTAGTGATAACAACCCATCACCTAGAATTTCTCCGTGGAAACAGCAAGCCTCCAATTGTGATGGGAAGTATCAGTTTTTCTAGTAACAGTCAATACTAGGAAAAAAAGACAAACCCAAAGAACTTCTGTGTCCCAAAGAAAGCACAAAGGGAAAAAGCACATACTTGACCATCACTGGGATCAATTCAGTTACATCAGCTGAACAGACAACCCAGACCTGCTCTGCTCAATATGGCACGAGAACGTGCAGTCTTTCAGTCAGTTTATACAAACTATCTTGTGATTTTCTGAGTTGTACAGAGAATCCTAAGGAAAGGCAATGCACATATTTTTCCTCCTTTCATACTTTAGAAGAACTAGGGTTCTGCCAGAAAGAGCTGAGACACACAAAACACAGCAATCTTTTCAATGTTTTGTGTTTCACTAGAAGTCAGACAGAAACTACAATTGAATTAAAAAAAAATAAAATGGCAAAACTGCTTTTCTTTCCTTTTTCCTGTCCTTCCCTCTGCAAAATGCAGACATGCTATACAGTCTGAGAGGTTTGGCTTTTAGTACTTATCACTGCCCAATTTTTTCCTACTCAGCTCCAAGCAGACCACATTCATTAGCCTTTGCTATTGTTTCCAAAACAGCCCTTTGAGTTTCTGTCAATGTATGAAAGAATTTTGTCATGCTATGAAGCAAACTATTCTTCCTGATGCTGATGCCAATATGCCTCATCTACAGACTGGAACATAAAAAACTGGTGAAGAAAAATGGAAGTAACTACTGTTTCTGTGCTATGTTTTGGAACAGCTGACAAATGAAAAGTCAAATTAGCAGCAAACTAACTGAGGGTAATGAATTCAGAAGGAAAGTAACATACAATGAATCCAGATACAGCTGGATTGTTACAAGAGCACGCCCGAACAATCTTGAACAGTCTCCCTCTCTCTCTTGTTTTTAAAAGAGCATGATAAAATTGAGAAATACACAAAACCACTCCCTCTCAAAATTCTGATAATTCGTTTTGGTTAGGAGAGGAGATGGCTAAGACTAAACCTTTAATCCCTTCATACTTGAAGATTTTTATATTTATTTTAATCATGCCTCAAAGTCTYATCTTCGCTGTATCAGTATCACCAAAATAAACACTTTTCAAACAACACAAATTGTTGAAAGCACASTGGTAACATTTTTAGAAACCATCAATCACTGCCCCATAAGCTAAAATCTTACTGCACGCTCAGCTCACCAATTTGCTACAAATAATCAATGCTACAATGCAGAGGCAAGAGGATACAGACCACTGCTGGACTTGATGCCCTTCTGCAAAGAATTAAGGGGATTAGTTTTACCTCCAGCTACATKTTAGCTGACTACTGAAGATACTACAGGACAGATGACATAAAATCATCTCACTGCATTTCTGAACCATATAATAACTCTTCAGACGTTAATTCATGTAAAACAAGGCTAAACTCACTATTAACTTAAAATGGTTGATACATTCAGTTATTTATTATGTTTTTCTTTCACAAGTATTGAAAGGAACTTACTAACCACCTCAAAACACCATGCAAAAACATGCTTCTTAACCAGTCCCTAGCTAAGACAGACTGACAGCTATTCCTCTCCTGAGTAATAAGAAAGCTGTGACTAACTTTGATTAAAAGAAGAATTTCAGTTGGGCTGCACACTTAGCATAATGTAGTAGAAATATTTTGTTGATCTGCAAATAGCAAGACATCCTTTCCCTGAGAAAATGGCCAATTTATTCTGTCAGACAAAAAAAAAGTTCAGATAATTTTTTAATGGTCCCAATGAAAAAAAACAAACTCTATACATAATCTATAGAATTACTCCAATTATAAACCAAAGTTAAAACRGTAAATTATGGGTAAATCTAAAATTATGAATATTCACCAATCTTAGTTTACCAGTAAAAACACTCCCAGACTGAATTTGTTACCATTTGCAAGAATCTGAATATATAAAAACCCACTTTGTTTTCCTGTTACTGCATTTCTGCYTGCCTAACAATGACCCACAGCAACAAAGGAATTCTGAACAATATTCCTCTCTCAATGCCAAGCCTGAGAAACACARATGGATGGATGGATGGAGATACCAATGCAGACTGGAGGCACTCCCCAGCATCTCCCACTTTCTCCAAGGGTAAGGGAGTGCTTTTGTGCAGCCCACACACAGCTCCTTATAAAGATGCCCACAGCTGGGAAGCAGAAGTTCTCCAGCAAGGTGACCCTGCCAAACCCACTGCAAAAGGAGCAACTTTTCTTCCTTTATGAACAAGTTACTGAGGGGGAAAAGAAAATATTTCCAGAGACCACTGCAGTCAGAGAAAATACTCCCATTTGGATCACTGAGTCCTGGATCAAAACACCAAGAGGTCTCTACCTCCATTTGCAAACCACACTCTGAGAAAAGGTGATGTGTTTATGCAAGCAAACCATATCTAACTACATCCAAGATTTCACTATTTTTAGTGTTTTCCTCCTGGTTTAATTGTCTTCAGCAGCTGAAACACTGCAAGAAGGAAACCATCCAAAAGAATTGGCAGTACCTGCAAGTATATTTGCATATTTAGGAACTCCCAGAAAAAAAAAATACTCAGCATTCTGTATACATTTTAGCATGAAAAGCTAAATTCTTACCTCAAAATCTGTTGTAGCAATAGCAAGAACCTATGCCAATTTTGTCACTGCCAACTTGTTGCCAGAAGACCAAAGGAAGCAAACCCTTTAGGCAGTATTTCCAAAAATGCCTGCTTTACAGAATTGATCTTTACCCAATGGTATTTCAGAGGTGCTAACTGGTTGTGGTACTRGTTTAAAAGAGAAGCCCATAGTGAAAGGCTTAATGGTGCATCTTAGCCCAAACCTGGCCATCTAAAAGCTTYTGGGTGGAGAGGTAATTACTTGTTTTAAACTAAAAAGACAGTTTAACGATAAAATGTAAGAGGAATGTCTATGTCTGATACTTGTAGGTACTTCTCTTCAGTCACAAACTATCAAGATTCATCACCTACATGTTTAAAAAGCTTAGTCTTTTGTGCAGAAACAGGAGTTTGCAAAGGGTTCTTAACATTACTGACTTTGAAAGTCAGACACTTAAAAAACTCACAAAAAATCCCAACACCCACTACAACAAAAATCCAAACCCACATCCCACACTAATCAAGATACTTCTGAGCAGAACAGCATGCAAACAATAGATGAGAGACTTAGTTATGGTGGGGTTACATTAAGGGTGGCTGCTAACACCAGTACTAAACCAAAATGTCAGCCATATATTTGAACTTCAGAGTAGAAGGAGTTTAAATATCAAACGCTATGACTTTTTAAAATCCAAAATTATTTTCTTAAGTAAAGGAAGAATTACTGCAATTTAAAACAAATACAAAATTATGAAAATAAGAATAAAAATTCAAACAAACCCCAAACCAAACTAAACCAACCAACTCTGGAGAGAAAAACAATTATATTGTTTAAATGGTTTCTTGTTTGAGGCAGCAACATAACTAACAATGAAAATGGAAAAAATGTAAGTAGCATTTCCTTCCAGCAAATAGACCTAAATCTCTAAAATAGTTTGATAGTCTTAAAATTGATGCCTCCATAGATCTCAAACAAGCCTAGCAATTTCTTTTTTTGCACTAGACTCTAATTATTATTATTATAGAAACTTTCAGGATATTGCATGAAAATAGATCTGCAGTTCGGGAATGCCTGGATGTGGAATAGAAAGAAATGCTGTATCTTTATAGTGGGCTCAGATAACACATGTATGAGATCAGAGAACAGGAACTATTGAGCTTAAATTCAATGCATGTTTTAATACAAATTCGTTTTCAGTTGTGGACAACAGCTGATACCAGGCAATTCTGTATTATGTCATTGATTCTTTTATTAGCTTAGTAGGATACTATCACAGCAATTTATAAGAATGGATCAACATTCTAAATCCATAATAGTACATTTTGTGGCCTAAAAGCCATAATAAATATACTTGTCCAACTAAGGATGAAAAAAATATTAATAATCAATTGAAATTACCRGAGTACTTTGTTGTCCAAGTTACAGAGCAACTGTGATGGTTTAAATGTCATAGTTGGGGAAAAAAAATAATAAGAAAGCCCTAGAAAGCCCTAAATTGATTGTGGTACCTGCTAGTACAACCTATTTCAAATTATTTTATGTAATTTTTTGTCATGTTAAGTACCTGTTTCATCATCCATGTAATTGCAAGAACCCCTGAATGTTCATGCTTTAGGGAAAATGTGTCGTGTTCAAAGGATAGTGCTCATTCAAGCTAATTATTTTCCAACCTAACTGACAGGGAAGAATATCCTAATTGCSCATTAGCACAGAAAATTTCATCTCATCCTTTGTGTCCCAAAAACAACTGTGATCAATGACATGCTCTACATTATGTTCTCTGTGAAATAAGACATCTGCCTATGGGCAAGCTGAACCTTTACACAGCTTGTTTAAGGAAGTATTTTAAGAACTCAGATCTTAAGTCTTGCTTGTCCAAACTAAAGTGCTTCAGCAGGTAGGAGAAAGAGATGCAAAATAAAGCAACACCTCTATATATTTGATCACACCAAATTATACTGGAAATAACATACAATGAACAGCCTTTTCTTGCTTCACTTGTCTGTGACTTAAAAACTGCAAGCAGTACTGACCCCAGGCATTGCCAGAGTATTAAGAAACTTGCTGGTGCTGGCATGGAAGTTAGAAATGAAACTTGTTTTGCTACAGTAATCTCTTAGTGAGGTACTACTGGAATTCATTCTTGTGTTTCATCAAAGAACGTTCTCAAAAAAAACATATTCCCTCTTACAGCACAAAACTTACCTTTGTTCTAAAACAACAAGCAGACAAAAAATACACTTACCTGGAGTGCTGCAGGTTATTTAAGGCTACAAATGAAAGTTGCAGATGTTTCACACAGCTACATGAAAGCTTTTAAAGTGCATACTGTCTACTTACTTATAATAATCTTATCATTCTTATTCATATTGTGTTTTCTTGATAGTTTCAAAAAATTCCATAAAAATTGCTCATTCTTAAGTAACATCTCAAAATGATTAATATCAAAAGCTTTGAAGTATTTCTTTCTCAAACTCAATGTTAAAAATTATGCAAAATATCATGTTGAAAAGACAGTAAMATAGACAGTATCCCTTACAATAAAACTCATTTTATACCCACTCCTTCCCAAAATTACAAGATATGTCCAAATATAAGTCATGAGGAATACATCATGTTTTCCCTCCTGACTCCCTTTCAGTATGAATCATAACTTGAGAGAAAAAATGCAATAAAATTCCTACCTCTTTCATTAAGACTGTTTAGCACTGCCCTTTCAAGCTGTTCTTCTTCAGTGAGCCCACCTGTATAATCAAAGTAGTTCCTTGGAGTTCTGTATTGATAATCTGGATAATAGCCATAATACTCTGTAAAATGAATTAAAAAAAATATAAATTGCTGCTACTCAGCAAGTGTGAAATCAGATATTGTCTTCTTGCTATCTTTCTTCCACAAATCACTTTAATTTGGGAAAGAAAAAAATTGTTAGTATTCAATTACTTATACAATATATGCCATGAATTAACTTCTAATTTACAAAGCCACAGCATGATAACAGGACAGAAAAAAAACAGAAAAAAGATGGCTCAAACATCGCAGTTTTTTWAAATTGTTGTAAGTATCATAGAATTGCTATCATTAAGAAGTTYCACACACAAACTGGAAGAGAGTTTTCATCATGTCCTTTTAACTTTTAGTTGCCAATACCTGGACACCTTACTGGTATCACCAGAACACRAAACAGGTACTGCTCAGGCTTTTTTTSCCCACCTCTCTTCCCCTTTGCCCCAATGCCCACAAACCAATGTCATCATARATCATCTGGACCTAGAGAAGCCACAGGGAAAGATTCCTGTAAACTCCTGCAATGCTGTATACAGCTCATGTAATCTGCTCTGGAAAAAGCCACCCCACCACAGATCTCACCCAGCGTCCCACTCGCTGCTGCTGCTGCACTGCTGACAATGAACAATTTCTGACCATCTGCAAAGCTGGCCAAAACCAAGCACAAGCCATCATCCACCCAAACACATGGGATTCAAAAGGGAAAAAAATACTTGGCTAGAGAATTGAGCAGGATTCTCTTCCTGTTAACAACATAATCTGATCTTGCCTGAGCACAGAAAACCTAAAYTGAGAAAAATCATGGAGAAAGGTCCGACTTTTCAACTGTGGAAAGTCCCATTTTTCTATTCCATTTTTGCGTTTAGCTGTTAGGTCTAGACATTTTGGATGCAATGTCCATATACTCCCCTCATTCTCCTCTGCTTTATGTTAATCTGAATGAAAATCTTCTCAGTTATAAATTTATTTTCTGTAGGCTTCAAAACTGCATGCATGAAGAGTGTAAGAATCCTGGTACTAAGAGCATGAAATTATCTGAAGAAAGCAAACAGATGCTATATTTTAGGTGTGCTCTATTGCTGTAGGTTTTTTTTTTTTTTTKTKTTTTWTKTTTYACACTRCCAGAAAGTTGTAATCGCTTAGAAAGCTGTAACCTTTTCTTTTAAAATGAGATACAGTTTGGTAACATCAACATGTTCAAGGTGTTCCCATTAATCAAAATAAATGTCCTAATACTTTATTCATGAACTGCACTTAGAGAAAACCTAATTCAGCTACTAAATACTAAATGTGTTAAAATTACACTTAAAACCTTTTTTCTTCTAAAGCTGTTTCATAAAATCTGTTCTGACCATAACTTCATCTATTTTTCTATTTAAATTGGTATTTAAAGGCACATAGTAATAAATCAGCAATGCCAGAAAGTGAAAAACTAATCAAGATATGCATCATTAGCCTATGACACTAGAGCGAATTCTCTTAATTCACAGATGGCCAAATTTATTCCATATATCATCCACCRAGCAAAAGGTTAAATCTTCCATTAAGACATCTGCAAATAGGATGAAAGACAATTACAAAGTATATGAACAGGGAATGAACGTAACAAATATGTATTTTCTTAACTGCAGTTGTAAGTCATTTTAAACAAATGAATTTAGTCTACAAAGAAAAAATTAAATTACTATACCTAAAGGTGGACTTGGAAGACAGGATAATTCCGGTTAACTCTCTCCATCTCCTTTTTTTATCAAAGGAACTCAGAATAAAAGCTTTTGGGGACTGTCCAAAATATGGAAAAAAAAACCCCCAGACTTCCTTGTTGTCATTATACTAAAGCTATTTTTGCTCCCCATCATGGCAGATCTATTACATGACATCTCTTCGATTTTCCCTACTTTAAAAGAGCTGGAAAAGTAAACAGAAAGGGCTATTCAGAATCTATCTGCTCCTACTCCACAAGGGTGGTCCTGTACACCCACCCAAGCTCCCAGCAGCTGGTGTTTGTACAGTGGCTGTAACAGATTACAGAGTTTAAATGTCAAGTACAAATTCTTATCTTCATTAGCTATTAAAGTACTTTTTCCAATATAAATCTTCAGAGTTCCCATCCACCCTGCTCTTCTGGGATATGAAGGAAGGTTTAGTGTCTGCAAGCAGCTGGGCTCAGCAGCACCTGTAGCTGTGCTAGATGTGAGAACATCTTTAACTGGGTTGGGATTGATTGCCAGCCATGAGAACAGGTAACTTGTGCTTGCAGCACAGGGGGCTTTCACATCTCATTTCACTTCACCAGTAGTAACTTTGTTTTACTTCTTTACTGGCCTTCAAATCAAATGTTTTTTGACTTGAGAGTAAATTAGAGTAATGAAAATCCTAGGTAAATATACTTTTGAGTTGGAAGAATCCCTGTTGCTGCTTTTGAGGAAAGCAGGCTAAGATCTTTTGTTTAGGAATTACAAAAGAGATGTTTCAAAAATATTCAAGGGGCCAGAATCCTGCTTGTGGGAATTATTTAATATAATAATAAAATTGGAGATAGATCATGAAAGACAAAATCCATCAGGGAGAATGAAAGCAGCAATAAACTTGGCTCAAAGTAAGCACATCTCAGTTATAAACGACTACACAAAATAAAAAACCCTGCATGACTAACCATCAGAGAACAGTAGAATGACCAAACAYGTAAAATAGTTTTCTTATAAGAAGCCAGACAGACTCCAACTTTCCCAATGGAGAGAAAAGATAACCATTGTGAGTACAGGCCTTAAAAAACACTAAGAAAGGAAGTACATAAAGAATGAAGGTTTAGTTTCCCTTCCCAAAGAAGAATTAATGTGTGACAAAGGAAATGAGCAGCTAGCAGGTTCAAACCAAACCAAAAAATGACAGATTCTAAACCAGGAAACAAATGGTGAGAGTCTTTCCTGATGATGTAGGTGTTAACAATGCTCATGTCGATTCAAAGAGCTTCTGACAAATTGATGGAAGAAGGATCTACCATAGGCTATTAAAGACAAAATTCCCCCATAAAATTTTCTGCTGAGAACATCTTTAAGCCACAAGCCACTGCACAGTGGCAGATATTTGAGAGAGTTATCACTATGTATTTATCCTGTTCTCCTGCAGATGCCTAGGAAAGAGCATAAATCACTGCAGGAGATAAAGAGATGCCAGGCTATSCATCCCTTAGCTCAGATCCAACACACAGAGCCCTTCTCCCACCCTCTCCTGGCCCTCACAAACAAGGACTTCACCTATTATTTCTGTACACTCCACGTGCAATGACTCAATGTTCTGCATGAGAAGTGAATCAAATGTGCTCTGCCCAGTGTGCCATTATTCCAACAATCCATCTATAAACTGAAGGTGGCTGGCCTAAATTCAGTCTGGTGAGGAGGGGGCCTTTTGCACATAAATTACTTCATTTACTAAGAGTGTTCAAAGGGAGGAAGAAATTCCTTGCAAGAAGGGAAAAACCACACTAGAATGGAACAGATAAATTTACCAGATGAGGGTCAATTTGCCAAGGTCCAAAAGGCTGATTTAAGTAGACACAATTTCCCCACTGCTAAACCTTGTAGTGTATAGGGATGCTATTTCCCCGAGGTAGCATTTTAGGAAGTCATGAGCTTAATTTGAGGCTTAAGCCTCTTGTACAAAACACATCCACACACTTCCCTGAAGTGAAAAGGTGAGACATGCCCAGAAAAGCAATGTAAGTTTAGCAAGTATACATGAACAGAATATTTTGTACACTATATACRTTTTCACTTATATAGCTCTCCTATAGATTTTGTAATCATCATCAAAAAATATTTTTAAAGCTGGAATAAGCTTTTGGTATAGTGGATGAGAGTACTTACCTGAATAGTAGTCCCTCGGCCTGTTAGGCTCAGTGAAGAAAGTAACACCAGCTAAACAAAATAAATAACACGTGKACTGTTAGAATAATCACATTTTCATAGAATACAAAATTCAAATGTAAAGCACTCTTTCTTTCAGAGTGTTTCATAAGATACAAACAGGAAATTAATCTGTGGATTTTTCTGGCATCAGTGAGAGAATATACTATTGTAAGCTTTCATATTGTTCCAGATTTTATATAGTAGCATGCCATGTTCAAGCAACATATCCATGTAGACTTAAAGGCAAACCAACCTGTAATGCTCTCTCGAGAACACATAATGAACAATTTCTGCACTGAGAATGYTCATTGGTAATAAYGTGTTAATGCACAGAAACTGAGAACTGGAGCAACACTGCAATATCCCTGCTTTGCTACACAGGAGAAAAAAAATGACCTGTGTACTGAATACTGCTTCCTGCAGCTGTCAGTCACACAGCAACCTGCACAGCAGCAGGGTTTCTAGGGCAGGTTGTACTAACAGTGAGGTTTATCACTAAATCCCAGAGAAATTCTGTTTCAAAGGAACTTCAGAAGGACCCTAGTCCAACTCCAAACCAGAGCAGTGTTAGGGACTAGATCAGAGCAGTTTACTCAGTCAGGGATGTACTCTGGCAAGTCCTGAAAGCATCTGAGGCTGGAGAATGCTGAATCTGCCCCGGTAGCAGAGCTGATGCTTGCCTGTTCTACAGCCATCAGACAGTTCCCCCAYAGCACAGAATCATGCAGGGTTAACCTTTAACTAATGGGACACCTCACGTCTGTTCACTCCAACAAGGCAGGAAATCTGATGCTTCGGTGTCCTTTTTTCCCATCAAACTGCTGAACATACATGACTTACAGACTATGCCCAAACTGTGGTAAAACCTCCAGAGAGCACATGCACATTTGAACAAATAATTCCCCACTATACAAACATTGTATCATGCTCAATTTGATGGAACAGTCATGAATAAAGTACTCAAAGTCGCCAGACATAAAAAGCCAAATATTCTGACAACCAACTCCACCACAGCTGTGGTGACAGGGCTAAGACTTCCAATTAAAACACTRGTGTTTAAGGGAGTGATCATTTAAAAGTTTGCAGGGCTATATTTGAAACACCTGTTAGACTGAAGATGTCTAAAGCTATATTTTCTTAATAACTTATTATTTAAATAATATTATTATTATATAGTTATTATTTAAATAATAACTTATTATTTAAATTAGAGGGGTAAAAGGTTTTCCTTTTACCTTTACCCTCTAAGTAAAAATATCTGAAAGTCACATTTACTTGCTCTTATAATCCATATTTAAGAAAAAATTGAATTCTTTTCTTCTGTATTCACTTTAATAAAATGAGCAGATCTTWAATTGTCTACAAACTTGCTGGAACAGCCTGAACTTCTGTATGCAAGACTTACTGAATTTTAAAAATAAAAGTGTTTCTTATGCAYGTTTTGTAAATTCAACACAATTATATACCTGTACAGGCCTGCATGATCTTTTTCAGAGGTCCCATAGTGTACATCAATCCAACGAGAATCCCTGCCAGATGCCCAGCAAAAGAAGTCCTAGAAAAAAAGGGAAAGGAAGACTTTTTTTTTTTTTTTTGTAAGGATAGAACAGGGAGAGTGCAGAATTTGTTGTAAAGAGGAAGTCCCTGAGAAATTCCCTGAGTGAGACCAAGCACAGAGGAATTATCTGTCTGCAAGGATATAAAGGCAAGTTATCTTTCTTTGTAACTACCTTAAAATTGGTAGATATACACAGTTACAGGAAAATATTTAACAAATATACTGAAAAAACTAATTGGAGAGTTAATTTTAATTGCTTGTTTAAAAGACAGAACACTCTTTCCCTAAAAGCATTTCAAGACTTACCAAAGTAGTAAACTGATTTTAAGTTTCAAAAAAATAACTTACATTGTAATGTCTAGGTRGATCTTACCAGGACCATTTATMRYTCTGAGTGAAAGCACAAACATGGTACTTTCTACTGTACTATCAGTGCAATCCTACAATCAGTCTGAGATGAGTGCAGATCCACTRCAATCTTTGTAATATGGCRCYTTCAAAATTGAAAGAACAATTGAARTGCTGAGATCTGAATTATTTTCTGTGCATACCAATGATTTCTTTAAAAAATATCATTACCAACTGTATACAGAATGAAAAGGCTCTGGAGTCTTTAGAGAAATCAACACAGAAGCATGTATTAAGTAATACATATAGTAAATAAGGGGATTTGCTCCAATAATTGCCATGACTATAGYGTACTCCATAAACTCATAAATCAATTTTCAGCGTTCAAATTAAGAGTTAAACTCTTTTGTGTTTAAAAGGYTTAAACATAAATTAAGAGTAAAATTAAGCAGATTTAAACAGTATTGGCAAATTTGTCACACTACATATTAAAATTAGTATATGCAATCAAAAAGACTCATTTATACTGGTTGTCAAAAATTTAAATAATATGAGCTAAAATGAGCTTTTTTTGCCTTTACAAAGTAGAAATGAAACCTCTGTTTAATGTAAAAWGTGTAATGGTTATCAGAAATCTGAAGGAGTTACGCAGATGATGGCACACGCACAAAAGATAGGAGAACTTCCAGGCATCAGTGGTAAATGGAGACAAGAAAACACACCTGTCACTAGAGGGAGGTAAAGATCAAATCTAAAGTCACTCTTTTGTCACCTACTAACCACAAACTTGTACCGTGCTATGGAGAGCAGTTCTCTCCCCACAGTAACCAACGATTTTTTGARGAGTAACACATAAATGCTGACATGAACATTTATAGGTAAAAAGTAGTTAAMAAAATTAACTATCTATAAGGAACTAATTTTCCAAACAGATTTTTCTGGAACAGATTTTCCAAATTTATGAAAAGTGTGTGCCTGACTTGGAAAATGTCTGACCTCGGAAAATAAAAAATACTTTCAAATCATCCAGTCTAGAAATCACCAATATGATATTGATTCACCTAAGACTTAAGGTATCTGCCCAGTTCTGGAAGAGGCAGAGATTAAACAGAAAGTAACTTTTCACATGTCTGTTCTTCCATTAAACAAATAATCCCAAGGACTGCTATGCAAAGCCTACATCTCAATATCCTTACTTTATGAAAGGAGAAGATTAGAAGGATACTGAATGCATTTTAAATTTTTCTGGAACCAAAACATTAGTAAGACAGAAAATAATTAGACACCACTAAACACCAAAATCCTCTCCTAGCACACAAATCAAAGTTTTCAATAGGCTCAATACTACTTTTCGATCTTTCATCAGTTATGGATTCTCACGTGAACCTGCTACATCAGTCCAATAAGGCAGGTCCAAATTTATTGCATGGCTTTCTGATCAGACAGAATTCTGCCCCAATTACTGAACTCTTATCTATTCAAAATTAAATTATGCAATTTGGTCTACAAAAGAAACCAGTTAAATAGACACTTCCAATACTGTAACTTGCCTGAGCACMCAGATGAGCGTGTAASAGCAATGCTKCGAGAGCTACAATTGCTATGGTTCATTTCAAGGCAGTTGGCAGTTACTAATTAAACTCTGTGTTCTAAGACATGRATTTCTGGAGATGACTACTTGTTTTCTGTAGCCCCCATTATCATTTAAGTGCTGTGAAATTGCCCTATGTAGAGATCACTGTAGAGGTTTAAACGAGACRGCAATCTAAACTTCCATGAAATTATGAAACGGTTTTTGATATTATTTCTGGAGCTCCTATCCACTCTCTACCAAAGACGTTTCTACAATAATGCAACTGAAAAAGAACAGYACCCAATGTCTGGAATCATGTTTTTCTCTACCATAAACAGTATGATACGGTTTTACTTCACACATAATGCTCTTTTGGTATYCTTTAGTAATAAAATAACCAGTACTATTAAATATGTCACCGAATAAAAATTATGTTCAGTTAAAACAACAATTTGTGATTTCTCAGAAAAATGTTTTTAATGCACTGAAAGCTTTAGTTTTATACTTGTAGCAATGCCATGMAGCTCACAAATAAAATTGCATTTGGGCAGAATGCTCTTCTGTCTTTAATCCTTGCTGCAGTCAATCAAGCAGCCAGGCAAAAAGCAATAAAAGCAGTGTTTAACCTAAGCAGTATTTGAATTCTCCTTCTACTCTACGAAATATTCTGCTATATCATAATATCTGACAAGGAGTATCTCAATATTGCTGAGCTCTTTTTTTTTAAATCTTTCTGAAAAGCGTAAAATTGCATATAAACTGTAATTTGGTAGTTTGCAGGTTTTGTGCCTGTACTTTGCATGTATTCTCCAACGTGATTCACAGTTACAAAATATTACACAGGAAAATTACTGACTTGCAAATAGGACTACAAAAATCAGCTGTCTAAGAGCAAGGTCCTGTTCTCACAGAGGTAGGGGCATATGAACAATACTGGCACAGAGCACACAGAGAAATTCAGGGAGATGACCTGCAGCACTACAGGACAGTGACACGGCAAAAAAATTGCAGAATACTGGATGCTGGTTTTATCATAAATTAGAGGAGTGAATAAGCCAGAGTGGGCTAGGACAGAAATGGCAGGCAAACATTGGAATGCTGCTCAGCGAATGAAGCCTTTGGCACTATGAGCATGGTAGTTTAGTTACCTTGCTGAAAACACACATCCCTTTTCCTTGCCTATCAACTTTTGTTATTTTCCCTTAAATATTCAGTTACACCTTCTGGGAACAATATTTCAAGCAGACTGCAGCCCCAACCCTACACTRGGATACCAGCTATCACTATTCATACTTCATGATACACCTCAAACTACTCCAGATATCCCAAATCTCTTCTTCTTTCTTTGAAATATTAAATGCACTTACCCTGGGGAGATTAGATGAATAGCCACCAGCTCCACCCAACAAGCATATTTACTGGATATTGGCAGTCCAAAGACAGTGCTCACTCTTCCTGGATTGTAATGGTTGTTTAGAACTTTTAAAGCAAACAAGACTCCTGCAAACAAGAAGAAATCACATGAAGATAGAAGCAATTGTGCACAAATAATAAAGAAATGCAAACCATTTGAAGTACCATGCAGTTTCAAGGGACCATGAAGCATACTGCTGCATGCCACAACAGTTGTTTTTTTCAGTGATACTTTTCAGTAACTTAAAAAAACAAAGATACAAAAAATTACATATTTGTGTAACAGCCAAACCTAAGTTGCTTTTTAATGTGCCCACTCACTGTACCTATTCAGGTATTAAAAACAATACAAACGTAATTTAAAATGGAGTTCTACTTGAAATAATTGATAAAATTAGTGAACTCAAAAAAATGTTCTGTGAATTGAGAAAAGCCACTACTGAAAACAAGATAAACAGATACATATACAGCTCAAGTAGGTTCAAATTCTGAATTAATGAAAGATCATCTTACATCTTACTCCAGAATCACTTGGTTCTGAAAAAAAATAGATAAATTACCTTTAAGCAAATCATTCATTTCTAACTGACTACAACTGTTTCATCACACAACCACTAGCCAATATAATGGAATGAACTCACAGAACTTAATGAAAGTGTTTATGAAATGGTTCCTCACAAGAGAAAGCTCATAGGGGTCTGAAAAAAACCCTGAAAAACTAACACGTAAAAGTTTTGACATGGACACATTGAGGCTGGCATAGGCACAGGCAGCCAAATCTTTCAAAGAAAGAGGCTGCACTCAGGGCCTCTACAGCCACCAGAAAGGCCAATATTAGAACTAGGCATGTCTTGTAACCAAAGCAGGGGTGATCAGAAAATATCTGGAGGTACAGAGGAGCAACTYCCAGGATGTTCCAACTCGTACCAACCAGAATATCACAAAGAACCCTCAGAGGTCTTGAAACACCTTTGTTAAAGGCTGAAAAAGAGGGCTTGCCTTCTAAAGCCAGGTCCCAACGTCAGCGAGGAAATCCCCTACTTATCTAGAAGAGGGCCACTTTTCCACTTGACTGAAGATTTTTGTAAAGAGAAGGAGTTTATTGACCTAAAACTTGATCTCCTAAAGGAGAAGACCATTACTGGAAGGAAGACAACCAAAATCAGGTGTTTGGATGTTGCATGCAGAAGCAAATCTAGGGAAGTCTCTCCAAAGACAGGTACAAGTAATTTTACAATGATAGGCTTTTCTACAAGACACCTAATTAGTATTACTGACATCAGAAAATTAAGAGTTCAGACTTCAATTAACCAGTGATCTTAAACAGAAAACACAATTCTACCAGGATGATGATATTTTCATGTTTTCAGGTAAAATCAATGTCAGTCACAAGAGCATGAACTGAATTACATAATGTTCATAACCAGAGTATCATGCTTTAAATAAAAAACAGAATGACCTTACTGACATGACAATCATACATATATACAGATGTACACCTAGCCAACTTTCTGCAATTAACAGTTATCATTATATAGCAACTGTACATACTAATTTTACATATGTAAATTGGACCAACTATGTATCTTACCTGAAAAACCTACACCACAATTCATTTCATAGGAAGGATCATCCAGAATTATCACAAGAAGGAGTTCCAGCACCATATAAACTACTCCAATAAGYACTGAAAATACTGCAATTGTGTAGGCAAACCATATGCTCTTAAGTTTTCTTTCCAGCATTATCCCCTTCCAAAGCATGGAAATCATGTTATAATACAAATGCCAATCATCTGCATGGTGGAAAGGAGCAAGCAGCAAACGGTGCCAGTTCCTTCTGTGGAGGGCTTCACTTACACTGAGACACACTTCAGGCAGTGGCCTCAAAGGATTCAGAAAGAGAAAAATATTCAGTGCAAGTACCCCAAGGGTAACAGAAGGAATGTTCTGGAGTCCAACTTGAGAAATTTGATAAAGCAGCAAAATCAGTCCAGGACTGACTCCTCTCTGCCTTCGTTCCATTATTACTTCTTATTCAAAGAAATGCAAAGATTATTCCGATTTCCAGTCTTTTGTTCAATTTCAAAACCATACAGGTTTTGGAAATCCTGAAAGAAAAAAGATGACTTGTTATATACATAAAGGGGTGCTTTCAAACTCATCGCTGTTTTTTCAGGGTTTTAAACACAAAAAAAAAATCATCAAGGCAATCAGCTAAGACCTTTTATATATTAGAACAAAAAATCAAGTAAGGAAAAAAGTTAGAATTTGTAAAGTGATATAAAACACAATAAAAGAGATTCATACAGAAAATCCAGGTAAGCATTGTGAGAAAAAGCAGTCTGCAACCRTTCTTTCACATCCCTGGACAGGCTCTACTTAATCCATAAAATACTTAAGTGTTCTAGACATATCCTCATTAATTCTGATTCACTCAATAATTAAAACWGCAGGAAGAAASAYAGTTTTAAATTCTCCTGTTCTGTCTCAGTTTCCAGGATTCCTATCTTTGGTACATACTTATATTTTTTAACAACCATTTTCCCAACTTCTACAAATATTCAAAACAAGTTAAGCTCGAAAACGAAGTTACAATTTCAAAAAGTAACAGAGACACAATTTGAAAATTGTTACTGCTTTCCTAGGGATTAGCATAAAGAGTTTCGTTTAGAAGTATACAATGGAGAAAACTATTGGAGGAAATCATATACAAAACCAGCATATAAAATTTAAAGAGCTATAACAAAATTTTCACCTCTGCCTTATTTAGGCCAGAAAAAACCCACAAGATTAAAGAGGACTACAGAAATAGATGTGGCTAGAAAACAGAGTTCCTCTGACAGGAACTAACAAGMGGAAGGAGAAAGCTGCAATGGACAACACAGCACATGGGCATGTGCAGTTTTCAGAGAGTGGAACCACCTGCGGATAACAGGRAGAGACCAGAATTTCAAGCTGGTTCCAAGGGCTACCACAGCATGGCCAGTCCTRCTTTTAGTTCTGAAAACTCTGCAATGTGGCCCAACAGCAGCACAGGCACTCCTCCCCTCCAGCATGTCCCTTCTTTGCAGAACTGCTCAAGATACACAATASACTATAATGTGTGTAAGTATCAGTTATGTAAAACCAGCAAAAAACMATTACTCTTCAAAACTCTGCCACCAGGTTTCAAATGAAACTACCTGAAATACCAAGACAAAATTCTCATCTAAACAGGCCATTAACCTTTTTCACTATACACAAAATAGTTAAAGTTGATAATATACCAATTTTTTATTTAAATTACTTTCCAATTCATATATTAAATGATTACTCAAGATTTTTATTATATAACCACACAACAATCTAATTCTAGAGGACAGTCGGAAAATTTGCACATTTATAAAGGACAGCTCAAGATGCAAAATTTAACCTTCCCCATTATGTCTGTTAGGATTTATTAAGTTTCACATTTCTACACTTTACTTAACATTTTGATTTAGGTAATCAGAGTATTCTTCATAATTTGATTAGGTTGCATTACATGAAATCAGTGAGGAAATGGAAAAGAAGGAAAGCACCTCTGAAYGATGTTATCCTGCAACAGCAAAAGGACCTGGGAGACCTGTACAGGGCTGAACATCAAAGATAACCAAGTAGGGGYCAGTCTACCTTCTCTGCTTATTCTGAAGTGAGACGAGCACATAGTTCCAGCCTAGTTCACAGTCACAATTAATTAATGCCACTTAAGTATTCTAGTCTCTGCATTGCTCTTTAAATTTATGCTTATTACAGCAATTTAAGAGAAGAAAAAACAACCTGGTTGTTTTTTTTTACCCTCAAAAAACTGTAGTAAACCAGAATGCRAGTAAAACTTATTTGCTACATTATAATGAAAGTCACTGTATTTTTCCCACGTTATTACCTTGGAGATGCTACATAATGCCTGAGCCTTGTCCAAAATAGAATGAAAACAGCACAAATAAGCTTTATATCAAACCTCTTGAATATACAACTTCCTACACTGATGCCTTCCAAAACCAGTTTCTAATTAKCACAATTTAACTCCAGAGACCTCAGCTGYAGCCCCCACAAAGCTCAAATGAACCAACCAGTKGAACTGTAAATTGGTCATTGCAGATAATAAACATTGTCAGTCTTCGACTTTCAAGTCAACATTACAAAAAGAAAAACTTAGTCAATCCAAATTTTAGTCAATATAACTCTCTTTTTCCAGACTAGTTGCTCTGATATTGGGTAGACCAACATCCCACAATATTCTTAACATTTTCTGCCCCAAAATGGCTTTTCTTCTATCACACAGTTACATCTTTTCCATCACAAATCAGGTGAACAGAAASTGCTAGAATTTAAAAGTCAACATCCTTTAAATGCAAGTTACGTGGAAACCTCAAAATCTTGCCATAYCATGATGTTCAAATTGCCAAATAGTCTTGCATATTAAAGTTRTATCGCTGCTACTGATACTCTTAAATTTCCAATTCAAGCATTTTTTGCACCCATCCACCTAAGAAATCCTCATCCAGCACATATCCAGACAATAATCATGGAACATGACTGGGAATGCTTTACACCATGATTACAGCAGTGCTAGTTAATATGAAACATTCCCATTACTGGGGYCAATCAAAAATGTACCCCAAAACACATTATGTATTTGAGTTGAAGAAAAATATATAAAAATTAAAACAGCAGTTATCTGAGACCTTCTGGAATGCAACTCCCTTAATACATAGAGCTTTCAACTGTTTGAACATTCCTTCTCAGCCTCTACTCTGTTTATTAAGTCTAATGAGGCTTGAGACAGTGAAGCACTTTTTCCTTTTTCTTTTTTTTGAAAACATGCCACCCACTTCAAAATGCACAAATTTCCAGAATAGACTTGAAATGGCCATTTGTCTTGCATCCAGGCTGCCACGTGTCTGCATTTTTGTCACCTACTCAAGATAAATGTCCTAACTAAATATTCTTGGAATTTGTTTGTTTGTTTTGTACYAATCAAGTGAAAAGTATTTAAACTTTTATTTTCACTGCTACAACCCYCCTCACTCACTTGGCAACCATAAAATATTATGACTTCACATTACTAAAAAATAATGTAATAAATATTTTAGTGAAAACCAGTTAAAATGAAATGTTATACTGTCTTTTCCTATAGCTTTAATTTGAATTTAGAGGAAAAGAATCTCCCTGTGCCCTTGCTCTCCCCAAAACTGACATAACAACCCTGAAATTCTGATTTATGTTTATGCAAAACCAAGTACACTCTGGAAAAAAAATGTGTATTTAGCCTACACGTCCAGATTAGTGCTAGACCAATGTAAAAAACACTTGTAACATAAAGGTAAGTATCAGATCCTAAGCACAAAGCATTTCACTATACAGATAAGCCTCAACAGGCCCACATTATTTGTCTGTGATGATACAGTCTCGGGATACAAAGGCTTCTCCGGGTAAACACAGAAACAGAATTTTTAGGGCAAAGAGGAGGGCAAAAGAAGCAGAAGCAAACTGTAAACACTTTTACGATGGCACTGAAACTTTGGAATGGGGTGGGGGAAAGGCCTAACACAAAAAAAAACCCAATACAATGAAAAAAACCCCTAAAAATTTGAAACATAGTGAGTCATCCTGTTTATATTTAATATGTAGGCAAGAAGGTGGTCAGCTACAAGCTGTCAGCTAAAATAAGCTTTGAAATGCACAGTCAATTACATAGTTCATAACAAAGACAAGGTTCTGACTTAATTACAAAATTAATTACTTCATAAAGAACAACTGGATTCATCAAATATGCCTTTACAGGGCTTTCTTACACAAAGGAATACTTATTTGTGAACTGAAAAGACAGAGTTTCACAATTTGGTGTGAGAAGTCACTCATCTGTAAYAAAAATATTTTAAATCAATTTAAGTCAGTAACTACCTTGCTGAGACAAYACAAAGTTAAATATCAACATTAGATGGCTATATCACAGGGGTTTTTTTACTATGCAGCATTTTAAATKTCATTCAAAGTTTTCTGTATGAATAAAGAAGTTCTTCTGCCTCTTAGATCTGCTTCAGCATGAAAACTGAAAATYTTTTCTAGATTTTTTAATCTTCTGAAGTACCACTAAAAGAGGAAGCCCTTAACAAAACAAGCTTTTAAACTAAAAACTTCAACTAAAACTGAAAMTTGTGTTCTGTAGGGTGCAACAATTACTATTCACAATAAAACATGCACATGTTAAACAGTACTTGCCAAAAATCATTTTGGCCACCTTATCCCAAAATAAATGAGACAGCTTTCACAGGAAAGAACCCAAGGGRCTAGGTCAAATCTCTCTCATAACAGACAATAATTAGTAACTGCCTCTCAAAACACTAGGAAACATCTGCACTAATTGAAGCTAGAGAAGTAAAATAGTCATAAATATTTAATATCATTGTACTGGTAAAGGTAAGGGGATATCATAGCTTAAATGAACCTCAGATTAGGCAACAGCTGAATTTTAACTTCACAGACATTTAACTCTAATTAGGGTCAGGGATTTGGGTTTTATTCTTATTTTTYCCCCACTTGACTACAATTGTTACACTTGTATAATGTTAAAACTTCATAATCATACTAGAAAAGCATTCTCGTTTATCTTAAGGATTTTGTAATACTATTAAAAACGAAACCATCAAAGAGTGCCTGACTCCACAAGTGTGAAGCACAACAACTCTTACAATTTTAGCATTTCTGAGTTGCTTTGAGGAAAAATTTGTCCCCAGTGTGTAAGACAAAGGAAGAACACGAAGCCTACTTTCTAAAGAARGCCATTTTAAATAATATTGGTTAAATATACAAACAATTCAGAAACATATGCTTTACAGTGTYAGCATTACACTACTGCTGTCAATACCTCCARCCTCCATTAMTGAAAACAAGCAGTTCCAGGAAGAACATCACTGTGCTATTTCAGGAAATCAAACCAGCTCAGGTATTGTTAATTGCACTTTACAGACACCTGAATTACTTAAACTCGGTGTTTCACAACTGTAAGAAAGTTTACCAAATACAGCCAAGATRCACTTGCCACTGCTTCTTCTTTCATACAGGTATGTTATTTGCAGGTTTTGGGGGTAGATTTTTTTCTTTTTACCATTCTGTAATTTTAACGAAGAGAGTGATATAGTTCTGGCCASTTACTGATCTTTTTTAAAAAGTTATTTATAGAATTTGTAAAAAATACCACTGCATGAAATGGGGTAAATGAAAGCCATAAACGCAAACTGCGGAGGCTGCGAGGACACAGCCCATGGGCAGGTGTGGTGGCGGATAAGCCCCGCGAGTTCCCGACACTGAGCTCCTCCTGCGCACCGACAGCGCTCCCAAGAACTGAGTCCCAGAGCCGTGGGTGGGTGTGCGTACAACGATAACGGCTGACCAAGCGTCAAATATCGGGTGCTCTACTTCGGAGGCCGCTTCCTTAATTCCCCCTGCCTTTCCTTGCAGCGGCGGGGAACGAGCTAAGCTCGACCGAGGGGAAACTTACTACAGAGCACACCTTGAGGGCAGCCTTACCCAGCCCAGACCSCGCTTGTTGGGGCTTGTACCGGGCACTCCCGGCTCAGCGGGGCGGCGCTCCCCGGGAGTGGGCCGCGCCCCTCACGGCCGGGGAGCCGCTCTCCATCGGGAGGCGGCGGCAAAGGCAAGAGAGGAGAAGGGCAGAAGAGCAGAATAGGAGAGCAGGGCAGGAGGAGCCGCCGGGCAGGAGATAGCGGCGGCTCCAGCGCTCCCCCCCGCACTCACGTTCTCCGGCGGCGGCGGCACCCCAGCCCTCGCACCGCCCCACGTGACCCGCGGCCGCCACTCCGCGGCGAGGGGAGCGGCCCCGGCCCCGCCCGGAGAGCGCGGTGCGCATGCGCAGGGGCTGCCGCGCCGCTAGGGGCGCTGTGCGCGGGCAGCCTGAGGGGGAGGCGGGAACGCTGAGGCGGCGCGGCTGAGGCGGGGTCTGGACAGGGGGCGGGTGTCGGCCGCTGGCGCGGCTCATTATTAAAATGTATAATCAGGATCCCTTTGAAAGCGTTTTACTGCATATGCAAAGCAGTAACTAGTTCTGTAAGTTTARTAGTTCGAAGACTTTTTTCTTTTTCCAAGCGGTGAAAGCAATTACATGAACACATTGAAGAATCACAGAATCAACTATGTTGGAAAAGAACTCTGAGATCATCAAGTCCAACCTRCGACTAAACACCAGCATGTCAACCAGACCATGGCAGTCAGTGCCAYGTCCAGTCTTTCCTTAAACACTTCAGGGATGGTGACTCCACCTCCCTGGCAGCCCATTCCACKGTCTAATCACCCTTTCTGTGGAGAATTTCATCCTAATGTTTGACCTAAACCTCCCGGGGGCAACAGAAGACTGTATTAGTTTCACTTGTGTAGAGTATTAGTCAYTGGTGTCACTGCATTATTCCCCAAATTTGACACAGATATCCAGACTTAGCTTTGTTACTAATACTCAGTAGGGAATACATTGAGCAAATTATAATGCCTGAAATAATAGGTTCTCATAGAAATGTTGGCAAGCTGATGGTGCAAATATGTGAATAGAAATGAATCATACAAAACCCATAGCCAAAGCTACATGTAAACGGCCTGATTTTGCTGTCATTTGTGTGGCACTCAGGTTTCATAGAACATTTTGGCAACTCGTACAAGTATGTCATAGAATTTATRAGAAAATTGCATTCTGCCCTTCCAAAAACAGCACACAGCTCAGCAGACTGGCAGGCATGAAAGCGGCTGAATTCCTAGAAATAGGGTGGAGATCAAGCTAAAGGAGCAGTCTTTGCCAAAACAAGCAACTTCAGCATAGTCCTCGCTTCCAAGAACGAACAGAAGCCAAWAGAGGCGGGCAAAGCTCAGTGTGTGCCACCATTTAGACACGTTACCTTAAGCTCCTTGCTTCTGGCACATTTATATCTGTTACCACAATTAATGCTAATCATAATAATTCATAGAAATCACAGGATGTGGGAGCTAAAAGTGCCTGAACTGATAGTTTCTCTATCATACACCAGGTTTTCTACAATTGGCACCATTTCCTGTAACAGCATAGTCCATTTTCAGGCAATCATAACTTCAGTCCATAATTCTTAAAGATGCCACATTTATTGCCTGAATACAGGCCCAGATCTTATTACTGGATGTGCAAGTCCTGAGGGTGTGGCTCGTTTCTGGGACCTAGAAAGTTGCAGTTCCCTTCATGGGTCAATTTCTGCAATCATATATTACTATCCTCTCTTTTCAGATCCATAATGATATGGGAGGGATAACAGAAGTCACAGGAACAATGGGTGGCTAAGGAAATGAATAATGTGTTCCAATGCTACTATTAATGGACCTCATATGTAGCTAGATTTAAAAAAAAAAAAAAAAAAACAACCCACTGTTCTTGTACTTTTTACCCAAGTATGGAATTTTATACCCAGTAAGTTCTTAAAATTGTTTTTTTTTCCCTTGTTCTACACATATTTTGCTAAAACCCACCAGATCTTCTGGGTTATTTTATACTTACATAAATAGCTGGCTAGAAGAAAAAAAGAAACACCTGCTGCTGTCTTTCTTTAATCTCACGCYACCATTCACCAAAAGTGGATTTCTTTCACTTTYGTGTCTGAATGTTAATTTTTCTTACCCTTAAAACGGAATGAATGAGAAACACTGTACACAAATGACAACTTCTTTTTTTCTTACAAATCCTATGTTTTATATACATGTGCCATATGAGCTATTACTCAGCTTTCCTCAATGTGAAAAATGTTTTTGAGTAAGAATAACTGAAAGGCTGACACATAAAAGGTTGGTTGAATTCATGTAAGACAATATCCCTTTCCATTTAACAACTRTTAACAGTATAGGTTCTGTTTCCTGGTTATGTCTGGCCTGATTAGAAAGAGAATTCAATACTTGGAAGGAAAATAAAGGAAAAAAACCCCAAACCATCATTTTCATAATCCATGTACTGTTGGTACAGGAGTGACGCATACAGTTAGCACTGCTTACGCCTTACTGCTAACTATATAATCCATGTAAATATTTATCATACAGCTATTATCAGTGTAAACATACAGCTTAGTCATATGTTGACCCATAATGAAAAAGTGACATTGAGATCTTTGCTTAATAGCACAAGGCTTAAATGTGTTTTAGAAGCAGCAGAGCAGATCTCAGGATACTCACTTTTTCTGAGGTTTATATGGATGCTTTTCGACGTGTTAAAATCGCAAAGGAACATCCTTCTGTGAATGCAGGGATGCAAATTAAATCCATATCTGAAGGATATTTTTCTAATTAATGTTGGGAATCTGATAGCGGCCMATGTGAAACACTGTTTATGTTAATCTTGAAGGAACTAGTTAGGACTAGCCTGCAAATGTAAGAAGAATGTCAGAGTGTAGTTATGGTAAAGGAACTCTGACTTTCCTAAGAYGTCAGTACCTGACAGTGTTTACAAATAGTAGAAGCAGAGAGAAGTAACCTAGAATTTAATACACCAAATATTATGAGTCTGTCAGAAAAGTAACAAAATACAGATGATCAAAGGATCAGTTTAAACATGTTACTAGTTTATATACAGCTGTTGTACCACTGCTACCATTCTGGTTCTGAAAACAACATAATGCTTTGGAAACTGTGGASACAAGGTCTTCTGAGAGAGACAGAYGGAAATAAGATCTGATAGCAAATGTTTTGTATGGAATCAGGGCTTACTCTTTCTGGTTTTGCTATGTAGTCCATCCCTACTAACTTCTTTCTCTGGTCCGGCTGTTAGCATCACTAACACAGTAACTTTATAATACAATACAGACAAATGGARGGAAAAATAGAGATGCTTTCTCTCTGCCTTATAGAGATAAAACAGAATATATCCTGGAGGTTCTTGATTTGTTCATATAGTCTCCCAGAAGACATAGAGGAAACAACTGGATGGAAAATAAAGGAGTGTCTTGGTCTGAATGTGGGCTGGAAGAAAAAGACCAACATCAAAAAAGATATCCCAACAATTACAGCTGAAGACGTGTCTGATCAGATGATCAGTCACTATTTGCTTATCCAGGTATTTCCATACTGCAGTGAGACACTTCAGTTAACCCAAAGCATTTTGAAAAAGCTCAAAAGCCTGAGCTGTTGTATGTAACCAGAAGAGAACGGAGTCGACCAAAAGGCAGTGTGAAGGAAATGAATGTGTGAACTATGCCAAGAAAATGGTACCAGGCAATCCTTCTATGCAGCTGAAGGGTTTTCTAAAAAAGGTATCAAAAGGAAAGAGAATATGTGACATCACTGATAAAAACAAACTATAATGTGAGAAGTTATTTGGTAGGAAATAACCAAAGAGTAACCTGCTGTCATCTAAAACTGATTTTAGAAGTTCTGTACGCAAACATTTATCTTCTTTTTTCTTGACCACAGGAATAACAGTCAAGGAGCTGTTACTCATAACAATACTGTAGGTGGAAAATATTTTGTTGAATACAGTTCTTTTTTTTTTCAGTGGCAGCATAATTTATGTCTCATCATTCACAGTTTATAAAAATCATGAAGTTAAAATATATYCTGCTGCTGGCAGGGAATTTTCCTCAATACTCTAGCTGTGAAAATTTTGTGATTATTTCCTATTTCTATAAAGTATKCACATGTTTTCCTTTATGGAAACACAGGGTTTGATCCAATTTTTATGGAATTTGGACTACTGTATAACAAAGATGTGTCAGTATTCTGGTGACACGTGTATGCTCCATTGGCCTACAGGTTGCCAGGACAGTGGAAGCAATGTCCTTCCCAAAGGAGATGAAATGTCAATTTGCAGTACTCCTCAGTTCCCAGCTCTCAAAGTTGGGCTAATCCAGAGGCAATACTGAGGGCTTTATCCGGCACTCTTTGTAAAGAAGGATTTGCCAAAGATAGTACAGTAATTTTAACAAAAATTGCATTTAAGTCCCTACTTGGAAGTCTTTTCTTGCTCTGTATTTTCTTCTGGATATATGAGTAGAATTCATGCTCTGTATGTTTTTGTCTTTTATGCTAACCTTAGTCCTACGTTATATATGTTCATTGGCCTGACTACTGTCCCCTGCAGAGAGCCTGAGAGGCAGAGAGAAAAGTGAGAAAGCATTTGGAAGAGGGGTTGATACAAGCAGAAGGCTGCTTCAAGAATTTTACTTTACAATCTGGTCTTTTTATTTTTGTTTTCATGCAAAGAGTAAAGCTTTATTTCCCTTGGAAGTTTGAATCCCAGAAGTAGTGAGGAGACATGGTATACCATAACAACCACAATATCCATAATATTGACATGGGTGTTGCTTATTTGTTYGGGACTTTTCCTTGTTTGCTTTGTTGGTTTCAACTTCCTAAAGCTGTCTTTAACATATTTAGTTTTATTTAACAAAACTAAGCCTAATGAAGGCTTCTGCCACAACTCAGAGTGCATTGATAGGCCTTAGTTGCCCTGACCAGCCTTATCTGGGTGCCCCCACCCATACCCCCTGCCYATTGGCCCAGAGCCCCATTTAAGGTCAGCCCAAGGGTTGTGATCCTTTCTTTAGCAGGCTTTGGAGAGGGYTGGTCTTTAGCTGTTCCCAGTCTTGCCCTGATTATGGGCCCTTGGCTGATGGCTCTGCCTGGCCATMCAGSTGCAATGCCTGGTTTTGTCTTCCTTCTGCCTTTGYCTCTTCAMTSCCTCATCCTCATGGGTGCCTTGTGTTTTGGATTCT